TTGTGATTAGACTACCTTGTTACTAATAGAATAGCTGAACTCGTGATTCCTTATTTAAATATATGTTATTTAATGTTCATTTTAAGATTGAAGACGACCCTAGTAGGACGGTCGAAACGTCTCTTTCTAACAAAAAAGTATTTCATGCCAATGCTGTGGGTAGTCTCACTTATTCAAGAGATAATTTAGATCACAGCTTTCATTTTTAATAAAATCAAACATTCATTTATTACTGCTTAGTTAGATTACCTGTATGTATTAGGTTTTGTTTTTTCACAAACCATTTTGCTTTAATCTAACGTTTTTATTTACTTATTTGATTATAATTTTCATTTGCAAAAAAAATTCTCATTGTTAATTATTTTTTCTTTTTTATGCTGCAATAGATAATACTTTTCTCCATTTGTTATTAATTGTTCAAAAATTATTTATATTCAATACTCAAGACATATGGTAGTGTGTCGTGCGGCCTAAACTATCTACACTGTGTATTATTACCGGGTGTGATAGTTTAGGTATTTTTCACTTTCTGTAGCTCGGACTGTGGTAATCGAAACTATCATATATTTTCAGTGGATGTGTTCTACTGGACCGTTATTTCATATACCAAATTTCAAGACAATCCTTTAAGAAATACATGAGATATAAAACTATCTGTGCTCTGCCCACCACGGGTATCAAAACCCGTTTTTTTATGTTATAAGTCCGCAGACTTACCGCTGTTCCACTGGGATGCGATTAAAGAGGTCATCCATATAAAGATGTGATATACAAAATAGTCAAGTTATATAAAAGAGGAAACCCTCTAAATATGTAATGTAAAAATGGATAGGTTAAACAAGAAAAACTGGAGAATCTGTCTCACTTTGAATATTCATATTGATACCATTTGCAATAAAAACAGGGCCAAGTATTCCCCAATTTGTTGTTGTTTAATTTAACTACTTTTAAGCTGTGAACACAGATGCAACACCTTACGCCACTACGTCATCACCCATTTAAGATTTTCCGTACTTTCGGTGCGAAGAAAAAAAAGGAAGAAATTCAATCAAAATTGGAGACCTTTTGCGCTTAACCACAAAAAAAACCTCTTTAATCTAATTTAATTGTTTTATGCATGTAAAGTGTTTTGATCAGATTTTATATTTTCAGAAGTTTAATTAATTTTATTTGCTGTTAAGCACAAAGCTACACAATAGGCTATCTGTGCTCTGCCAACCATGAGTATCGAAACCCGAGATTTAGCTTTGTATGATCTCAGACTTACAAATCAGCCTCTGGGGGGGGGGGGGGCGGTTCACCTAATAGTTATAAGGATATTCATTGCTTCATCTTTTTGTGACGCAATATATTCGACTTTTGGTTCAGCTAAAACTTCCACAGCATCTTAGTCCAATAAGTTTATGTCTTCGAACTGCTGCAGTTGTGATGTTAACTGACCCACGCTCCAGGTCCAAGATACAAACAAGTGAATAACCTGATGAGCGACGACTTTGTGATACCAGTGGATTGCTTTTCCCAAGTCGCCTATATCAAACTGGACTTATACAACCGAAACTTAACTCTTATCTCAAGAATAATTTCAATAGTTAGAATGGATGTTTTCAACCTCGGGTTGAATTCACACTCTCAGCTCGAGTATAATAAAACAAAAGGTGTAGCTCTTTGTTTCTCGTGCTGGGTTGTTGGCTTGAAAAAGCATTAAAAAAAAGTGTCCCTGTAAAGACAATGCTTAGTAAGGAACAAAAGGGAAATCTTATACTAGGAACCAAGGAGAGAGAGTAGAGCCATAATATTTTATATCTGTTAATTTATGTTATAAATACTTTGGTCAGTTTACACCATCCTCTCCAAAGTCACAATGAAACCGAATCCTCATCCAACAGATGAGTTTTTTTTTTGAATTATTTAGCTCATTTCTAGCTGGAATCCAGAACATGCCTGAACATGTACAAAAAGTCAAAGAATACCCTGGTTACTTCTTACCGTCGTCTCAAAATGAAATGATTCGCGCCACATTTTTCATGAAGCTGACATTAAAAAGGTAAGTTACTTTTATCTGCCTAGACACAACATCTGACTGCAGCAGACAAGATCAACTTTCTTTTGTTGTTACATATATCAGAAAACAGAGAAGAGGTTGAATCTCCATTAGATATGGTAGGTGCTCTGATACAAAGGATATTCAGTAAAGTGCAGAATCGTTTTGAAGAACATGGTTATTGATTGGACAATCTGCGTGACCAAGGATATGATTATTGTTCTGCTATGTCTGCAGACAAGTGTGAAAGATTAGGCACCAAAGGCACAGTAGGCGTACTATTTCACACACCGCTTAAATTTAGTGGTTGTGGACACACTTATGAAGAAATAGAAGTCAAGAAATTTTGTTGGAATAGTCTAGAAACTGTTTAATTTTATCGAAATCAGCATAAAGCCACATGGTTTATTCAAGGGCATTCAACACCAACTTCAACTTGAAAGAACTGGCACATTGGTCATAGAACACAACACGTTGTTCAAATATAGCAGAAAATTACACCGAACGTCTCAATTACTGTTCTGAAGTCTATATTACAATCGATTGTGCACGATGATAACTTTGATTGTGAAACTATTGGTGAATACTTTGAATTCTGCCTCTGCATGGTCATTGTGGATTAATTGTTAGACTACGATACGTGGATTCCAAGTATCCTAAAGATAAGTTTGTTTTTGAATTTCAGGCAAAGCTACACGAGGGCTATCTGCGATAGTCGTCCCTAATTTAGCAGTGAAAGACTAGAGGGAAGGCAGCTAGTCAATCACCACCCACCGCTAACTCTTGGGGTACTCTTTTACCACATTATAACGCCCCCACGGCTGAAAGGGCGAACATGTTTGGTGGGACAGGGATTCGAACCCGCGACCTTCAGATTAAGAGTTAAGCGCCCTAACCACCTGGCCGTACCCGTGGTGGGCACAACACAGATAGCCCATTGTGTTGCTTTGTACTTAAGAACAACAACAAACAAACAATCTACCTTTAACAAGGTCTGAATATTAACTAGTATTATACCGAGTTTACATCTCATAAAATCGTTGATTAATGTATAAGCCTCGAGTTCGTTTGGGATGACTCTTTGAAAACTAAGGATGTTTAAATATCAAACAAGTGCAGTTGAACCTTGTGAATAACACACACAAAGACAGTTTTAGATAATTTTATTCTGAACCGGAATCATTTTGAGTGTATAAAATAACGAAAAAAACAACAACAAAACAATTTTAAACGTCTGGTAAGGAGTAAAAATACAAAGTAAATAATCAGAAACTTACAATGTTTATTAATTCAAAGTTACGTAACATTCCCTTTTATATATTTCGATAAATTTGACCTGAAAACAGCGTAAAAATTTCTAGTTTGCTAAAAATTTAGTTGGTCATAGCTTCTTTTTGTTAAATGCTTTTGCAAATGTAAATGCAGAACTTCATATTTAAATGTATTTGTGCGAGTAAGAATACAAGTTTTAAAAGGTTTCTAACGAAATTTGTATACAGTTATTTAAATTTCTATAGGTGATCTCTAATTTAAGGATACAACGTAATTAATTTAATTTCTACATTCATATGTTAGAATGTAGTAACGAGAGACAACACTGTATAATGAAACAAGAGAACAACTTTCCTTGAAATGTATGATCTTAGAAAACTTCGTGAAGTTAAGTTGGGTACTCAAAAAATAGGTCAGACACCACTCGAACACTATCCTATATATCTCTGACTGTGGAAATTCATTAATAACAACATTTAATACATCTACTGGGTTAATTAAACGCCATCGACGG